GATGGATGGATGGATGGATGGATGGATGGATGGATGAATGGGTGAATTTTCCTGCCCCCGTCTGCATCCGGTGGCACCTTTTCACATATTCTTTTAGCCCTTAGCACGTGGGGGTCTTGCGTCATCTTGCCTCTAAGTCTTTGCAAATGTTGCTCCTTTAGGGAACATCACGATCTGTCTCTCTATGGGTAGCAGCATCTGGGGGAACTCCCTCCTTTATACTTAAGAGGCTGTAGCTGGGCGTGGCCAATCCCCACTTTATGGCTCCACAGGCAGCAGTCATGTAACCCAGATCTGTGATTGGTTGGGGGGGGGGGGCGGCACGTGACCCAAGGTGGCCAATGAGAGCCTTCCCTGGGATTTGTGCTGACGCTCCGGCCGCCATTTTGCCTCCACAAGGAGAAAGTCTGAGAATGGAGCCAGTGTGGAGAAGAGCAAAGAGGATGGAGTCCGCTTGTCTGGCTCCAGCCTCGCCTGACCGTTCAGTTACACAAGTCAGTGAACTGTATATGCTGCTTACTTCAGTTAAATTTCTCAACTTTTTTTTTTTTTTTTTTTTTTTTTTTTTTTTTTTTGGGACAGAGAGAGACAGAGCATGAACGGGGGAGGGGCAGAGAGAGAGGGAGACACAGAATCGGAAACAGGCTCCAGGCTCCGAGCCATCAGCCCAGAGCCCGACGCGGGGCTCGAACTCACGGACCGCGAGATCGTGACCTGGCTGAAGTCGGACGCTTAACCGACTGCGCCACCCAGGCGCCCCTTACTTCAGTTAAATTTCTGCGGCTTGCAACCAATTTGATTAAAACGGGTTCTAGCGCCTGCTCATCGCTCCTGCAGGCCACTCTTTGAAATCTTTCTTTCCTCAGTCTGAGTCTCTCCCATCACAGCACATATCAGACCACATTGCTATTACCTGCTGACCTGTCTGCCTATCACTCCTGCAGACTGAGAGAACCACGGTCTGCCCTTGTACCCCGGTGCCTGGCTTGTAGTAGGTATTAAACAAATGTTGAGACGTAAACATAGTAGGTGCTTAACAAATAACTCATAATCCTCGCTGTCCTTAACTTCAGTCGCTCAATTTTTAACTCAGCTTCATGATATCGATTGAGCACCTGCTGTGCACCAGTTGCTGTCCTAGGTGCTGGGGATCTGGCAGTGAACAAAAAAGAAATCCCTGCCCTTGGGGGGCTGATGGTCAAGTGTAGATGTCCTCTAGGGGCCTGCCCTTCCAAGATGGGCTGTATTATAAGATCTTGTCCCCACAGGTACCCATAGCTGCTTGGACAAGGGTGGCCATTTGACCAGAGACTGGGCTGGCCCTTTCAGACTCTTCTGGGAATTTGGAACTGGACAATGGACCCTCCGGGTCAGCAGCTGTAGATGCTGGGAGATAGAGGCTGCAAATCTCTCCGTGTGAGGCCACTGGTGTGAAGAGGGAGAGGGTGCTGGGCTTCTGCTGACAGACGCTGGCGTCTGGCTGGGGTCTGCACACGTCTACACTCCCTCAGCAGCTGGCTTCTTATATCCCGCCAGTGGGAGCCACGGTCAGGAAACCAGACCGGGAAGGACAGGGGAAGGGACTCCTTTTCCTATATTGTGGGTTGAATTGTGTCCCCCTCAAAAGACATGTTCAAATCCTAACCCCTGGGAGCTGTGAGTGTAATCTTATTTGGGAAAAGGGTTTTTGCGATGTCGTCAAGTTAGGAACAGGTCATACGGGATCGGGGCGGGCCCTTGATCCCATCTGACTTCTGTCCCCCAAAAGAGAGAAATCTGGACGCACACGCACAGGGGAGAGGCCATGCGAAGGCAGAGGCAGAGGCTGGAGGGATGTGGCCACACGCCAAGGGCCGCGTGGGGCCACCAGAAGCTAGACGAGGCCGGGAAGGATTCTCCCCTAGAGCCTTTGGAAGGGGCAGGGCCCTGCCAACGCCTTGGTCGGTTTTAGCCTCCAGAACTGTGGGAGGATCAATCTCTGTTGCCACCAGTTTGTGGTCCTTTTTCACAGCAGCCGCAGGAAACCATCACCGTCTGCAACGGTCTAGGGGCAACGGACAACCACTGTGCTGGCACCCCCTCAGCGGTGCCAGGGGCAGCGGGGTGGGTCAGTACACCCTCTTTTCCTTTTACTTCCCCAGTCCTTGCCTCCCACAGCCAGTAATTCTTGGTGGCTTCGGGGTTTTCTATTTCTCTTTCAACCCCATGTAGCCAATCCCTGTATCAAATCTCCTCCACTGAAGACACCTAATACCTAGATGGTTTCTGTTCTTCTCACTGCTCCAGGGAGAGGGGAGAACATAACTAGCATCCTGTGTAACTAGACTGGCGGGGGGACCAGCTCTCAGCACCACTAGGCTTTCCCTCGGTATAACCCAGCAGGTCTCGGGTGGGGGAGATTCTGCCCTTCCCCTCTATCCCTGGGAACACTGTCAATGTCTGAAGGCACATTTGCTGATCAACAGCTGGTAGGAGACCGGGGTGGAGACCAGGGATGCTGCTAAACACCCCGCAGCACACAGGACAGAGAGTGAGCCAGCCCCAAGTGTCGACAGTGCTGACGTCGAGAAACCCCGGTGAACCTAATCTCCAGCTGGCTCAGAGACGCTTTGGAGGGAGCAAATCTGTCACACAGCCATATTCCAGAGAAATCCGTGCCCCTGAGTGGGAGCCAGGTGAGGAAGCCCACCCTCACATGTCCACAGACTCACCAGAAACGAGCACAGGAAGATGAAGGAAACGAAGTAGAAGTAAGCAAATTCATTGCCACACTCGGGAGTCAGGATGCCAGAGTTCTTATCACACGGCTTCCCACTGAGGCAGGAAAGCATGATGTTGTGCCAAGCCTCCCCGGTGGCACTCCTGAGAACAGAGAGGGGGCATCAGGGACCTGGGCACCCAGTCCTGGACACTAATACCCCCCCCAGGGAGGCCGAGCACTGGGCTCTGGGTTGGACTGGCGTGAGTTCAAGTCCAAGGTAAAGCACCTTTTTTCTCTGGGAACTAACAGAGGTGATTCTCATCCTTTGGCTGTGCATTAAAGTTCACGGGGAGCCTTTTCACCAAAGCCCCACTCCCACAGACTTCGTTTCAATTGGTTTGGGGTGGGGCCTGGGGATGTAGGTATGTTTTAAGAGCTCCCGTCACTCCAGGCAGTAGTCACCTCTTCTTACCTTCTCCCTAGGTCTCTCTGTTCCAGGCACACTGGGATCCTTGCTGTCCCCAAACATGGCAGCCACGTTCCTGCCTCAGGGCCTTTGCACTTGCTATACCTTCTTCCTGGATTGCCCTTCCTCAGATATCCACACGGCTTCCTCTGTCAGCTATTTCTTCCACGTGTCACCTGCCTCCAGGGAGGCGTGACCTACCAGCCTCCGCTCCTTTAGTTGTTGCTAAATTAGAACTTTTTTTATTGTACCCAAATATGTAGAACATAAAATTGATCATTTTAGCTATTAATAAAGGTATAGTTCAGTGGCGTTCAGTACATTCACAATGCTGTGCACCCATCACCACTGTCCACGTCTGGAATCTTCATCTCTCCCAAACTGGGAACTTGTATCCGTTAAACATTAGCTCTCCACTGTCCAGTTGTGGAGCCCCTGGCAATATCTGGTCTGTTTCCTCTCTATGAATTTGCCCTTTCTAGGTACCTCCTATAAGTAGAATCACTCACTATTTGTTCTTTTGCGTCCACTTCCCTCTTAACCTTTTTTATCCCCTTCTAGCACTCTCCATCATCAGCTCACTGATTGCCTTTCTCCCCCATGGGAATAGAAGCATCGGGATGGCACAGACTATCTCTTTCTGCTTTGTTGCCAGGACCTTCTGCAATGCCTGGCACACAGTAGGTGCTCAGTAAATCTCTGATGAGTAAATGAAAGAACTCTAATGTGCAGCCAGGATTAAGAATCAAGCCTCAGGGTCTATAAGCCTCAATTTTCTTACCTGTCAGATGGGATTGCCGAGAATCCCCACCTCATAGGATGGTCAGGATTCAGTGAGGTAATGTCTGAAAATCCCTTCTGCACTTGTGTCCCTGGGCCTTCAGCTTCTGCCCAGCCAGTGTCCCTGCCGCCACCACTCCCCCCCTCCACGCCCCCACAAGCCCAGCCCAACCCTCACTGGAACAGAAGAGGACACGCCCCCGCCAGAAGAAGAGGGAGAGGACACGCCCCCACCAGAAGAGGGACAGGACACGCCCCCTACAGG